TAAAAATACCTGAGCCTAGGACTTTTCTTGGTCCCTTCTGGTTGGAAGAATCCTCAGGAAATTGTATTGGACTCCTAGAATCCAACCAACTCTGAGCTCACAGTAGGACCTCACAGTGCACTTACGCGAAGCAGTTCAGTTTATGGCTCAAGAGCTTTGACTATGGAATTTGGCTGCCTTTCTTTGAATCCCATCTCTGCTTAGCTTTGCTGTGCCCATTTCCTCATCTGTAAATGGAGATAAAAGTAGTACCTACTTTTGTTACAAGTGTTAAGCCAGTTAACATGGAAAGTGCCCGGAAAGATGCGTGGTACCGTGGCTAACGTTCAGTAAACATCAGCCGTCGTTGGGACTAGTGTCATCTAGGCCCTTGCATTGCTGGAACAAGGGGGTTCTCTTCTTTTGAATCTCATTAGAAGTTTTATTTAGAATACGTCACAGTTCTTGGCATATATCCCTCCCCACTGCATTTGTCACTGAAGTGAAGTGAAGCCCCAGGTGTCTGGAGCCCACTCTCTCACACTGGCTAAACAAGAAGATCAAGAAGATACTCTTCCTTTCAAAATAATTAATGTCAGAAGTTCTTTTGAGATAGTTTAAAGTTATTTCCCGTATACAACAAGGAATTGAATAGTGTTTGAAAAGTTACCACATTTAGTCCCTCTCTCACCACCTGCCCCCCACCCACCCAGCCAGGGAGAGAATTATAGGTGAAACACCTCCAGGACTTTGCAAATAACTTGAAATCACTTATTAAATAAAAAATGGATCCAGTTGGGCCAGTATGGACTTTGCTTTATAATTTCAGCAGTAATGGAGTTTGGAAAAAGGTTATGGAAATGTAATAATACTCTAATAATATTTGTTTTAAAATGCCTGAATGTCATGGGTTGTTATGTGACTTCTCATTGAAAGATTTAAAATCCTAGAGCCAGGAATTCACACAGTTGAGTTTGCTGCATTGTCTTATATTAGCACTGTTCAGCAGTTTTAATTTTTGTTCTTTTGTGTTTTTTATGTGTTTACAAGCATTTTATATTTTTTCACTGAATAATCCTTCTTTGGCATTACCCCTGAAGAATGTAGGTATGTTTTTCAAGGAGAACAGAAAGGGAGAAACGAAAAAACAACTTTGCTCTCTGCCAGATGCCTTAGCAGTTATTGTAGTGGTCATTTTTTTTATCACTTTATAAAGCTTGGTTTGCTTTTCTGGCCTGTATGTGGGAAGGTTTGTCCATCATCTCATAGATTTGATTCTTATTTCTTTACTCATTATCTACTCTAACTTCAGGATATGCTAATGAGTGATGTGATGGAAGAAGTGCTAATGGTTCTTAGAAATATGATCTCTGGGTATTACTATTTTCAGATTTTAAAATTAGAGTTTAGTTGGAAGGTCTTTAAAATTTGTTTAAAAAGATTCAAGTTTTTACCCGAAAGCTTCGGAATGTTAAGGTAGAACATTTTGTCAACTTAAAACCTTTTTTTAAAAAACTATTTTATCAGTTTAAAAGTTACTCTGAAATTTCTCTGCCACTCCAAACTTCAGTTCTGATTTTTAAAATTTAATTTTCTTAATTCTGAAGTTCACATTTCTATAGACTTTTTCTGTGTGAGCATGTCTAGATTTATTTTATACCTGATGAAAAACACCATCCTGTCTTAACCTGTCAACAACTCAGCTTATCCAGTATCTTGTCTGACATGAGGACGGCAGTCCAAAGAGAAAGATATCACAAATTGGTGCCACACTTCCATAAATAGAGACATTTTATTTTTCACCAAGCTAATTCAATCCAGTTCAGTTAACTCTTTTCTTCCCCCTTAAGGACAGATCAGAAAAGGCAGCCATGAATGACTGAGTTCATCCCGCATTTGACACGTCAATGTGTGAATAAAAAGCAGACGACAAGGGAAAGTTTTCTGCCTTTAGATTTTAGATAATACCCAATCCAAGAGCCTGCTCACTCAGCTCTGCGTGGTGGAGAACCGGCGAGGGTGAATGGGGTGGGATGGTGGTCTCAGATCACTTACAAACAGCTGTGATGGGAAGGAGCTGGGACTTGCTGCACTGGACACTTTTTTTCCCTTACGGTTGTGACCTTTTTAATCATTCTTAAGAATTCTCAGACGTTTTTCAGGTGGTCGTTGAGCTACACTTTAGTTCCATAGGCTAAAGCCATTGGCTCTGACATTTTATTAGTTTTGTCATTTTGATAAAATCTTTGTCATAAAAGATTTTGAAAACGCTTATTACACTAAGTATAATATTATTCCTGTTAATTTAATAACTTCTTTCTGAGACATGTACTGAAATCTGTACAGTTAGTAAGATTGCTTGTTCTTCAAGGATGTAATGGGATGATGGTGCCACCAAACATGAAACATTTAAATAATATTTAGGAGAGAAGATGACCATTGTTACAAAATTGCCTGTTGCTCTACAGGTCAGCTCTGCATCAGAATCCTTCAAGGGCTCTTTCCCTTCCTGCTGCCTTGTATTCCGGGCCCTTCAGGGTCTACAGCGCTAGGCCAGACCATATGTCTGTAAGCTTCTCTTTCTCTAGTCTACCACATCTATCGTTCGTGTAATTTTACATCCTACATTTTCCAAGAATTAGGCCTTCAATTGACCAATCGCTTTGATAAAACATTTCTCTACATGGTCTAAAAATTTAAATACCAAGAGTGCTATCCCCTTACCTCCCACAAGAGAAGCTCTACCAGGTGTTTAACTCACAAAAGGGGTGATGTTTACTCTCATCAGTCTGTGTCCCGGGTTTCTTCAGCAGTGCTGTCACTGATTACTAAGTAGATACATAAGCAGAGAGCTGGGCAAGGTGTGTACATAACGTTGGGAGGGTAGATTCTAGAGCCAAACAGCTCCGCCAGTTACCAACTGTATGACTGTGTAACTCGTTTTCCTAATTTTTAAAATAAGGATAATAATACCTACCTTAAGGGTTATGAGGATTAAATGAGCTAATATTGGTGAAGTGCTTAGAACTGTGCCTGGTACAGACTAAGTACTATGTAAATGTTTATTAAATAAAATAATGTATTGTTCTGTCTGTTAGTCACTGTGCTAAGTGTCTTATGTGTTGTTAACTCACTCAATCTTCACAGCAGTTTTATGTAGTAGATGCTGCTGCTATTCCCATTTTACAGATGAGGGAACCCAGACAGAATAAAAGTTACAAATGCACAGTAAAAGTGAAGTAACTTGTTCAAAGCCTCACAGCAAGTACAGGGCAGAACCAGGATTTGAATTCACACTGCCTGGCCCCAGGGCCCTTAACCACAACTTTACTTGTGACCACCATGGTACAGTGTCAGAACTGAGCGTAAATGGTTTGTCCTCGAGAATACCCCAGTCAGATGGAGAGAGACCGAGAGAGGTAGCGGGATGTTTTTCTTGACATATTAGAAAACCACGCGCTTGGAGATACTGGGACAAGGAGAGACTAGTCCCACTGGACCCTTATGTTGACTACCTGGGCAGACTCAGACAGGATGGAGACCACATGTGTTAGCAGCTGCTACCGCTGCACTCCAGACTGAGGAGTACTGTATGTGTGGGAACATCTTTTGGGGTTGTGTTTTTGTTGTTGATATCTTTTAAGCCATTCTTGTTGGGCTCTGAGGCTTTGCTGGTATAGTGACTCTAGCCCAGGGCCCTACAGAATACCCTAAAGACAGTGAGATACAGAGAATGTGGAAATGTGTCAGCCCCTAGGCCTGTGGTTGGTGCATTGTAGGTATTTTAAACCTGTTTCATTCTTCTCTGTCATGTCATCCACCTCTACTGAGATGCTACATTTATCCACAGGAGTTGCAGCTAGAAAAGTTCAGCAACCAGTTCTGGAAACTAGTACTACAAATCGTAGTCAGAACAAATGAAATCTTGTATATGTGGGAAATTCTCCTGAGGTAGTTGAAGTGTACATGCATGAATGCCCTGTAGATTTACAGCTTGGGAGATGTGTCTGTAATAATAGTTATCTATTGTATCCAGTGTCTGCATTTTTTGTGCAAACCTTCAAAAGTTTTAAAAGTGAATTTCTTAGATCTTTAAAGGATTTTAATCATTTTGCATTCACAATGCATTTTAATAATGCATTGATGATGAAAAAAATCTATATTTCACAGTCAAGTTTTTTTTTTTTTTTTAATAAAAAGTTTCCCAGGACAGTAAAGTTTTGTAGAGATTCTAATGGCTAATACTCTTAAGTGCTGGGTAAAAATTAAACTTGAATAGCAACGATGAAATATTTACTCATCAGATGGCTTTGATGTTTAGCTTCTTTTTAGTCACAGTCCCCTTCCTAATGGATATGTTTCAAAGAAGAAAATGATTATAGCTTTCAGCTGTGATGTTTGCTGATTCTCTGCGTGGAAGAAATCCGTTTTGTTTTGGTCCATTTGGGTATTTAAATTTTGAAGACTACTTAGAAATCACATTAATGACAGAAATGGTTCATACAACTCTGAATTCATTTCATTGATAGGGTAATGAATTAAAGTTAATTTTTCTAACACCTGGATCATTTTAAAAAGATTGTTTTAACTCTTTTATTCTATAATCTTTCCAACCTAAATTTACTGAATTGCCCATAGTTTTATATCAGAAGGCCTAAGGTGAGTGAATGTGTGTGTAAAAAATGAGCAGTACTTGAAAATATACAAATTAGTTTTGTAAAATATCTCATTGGATAAAGTTACTTATATTTAAATATGTTTAGAAACTACATGTTTAGATATGTAGTTCTTCAGTTCTAATAACTGGGGTTTTCGTTTAAAGTTTAAAACTATAGATGCTTTAAAAATATTGAGTTAATATTGTTTTTCTTTTACAATTTGGCTTAATGGTCATTCATCTGAGTCATTTAGGAATTTAGAAATTGTTATTGCAATGTTGATTTAAAATTTTCTCTTTTGTATGGTTCTTCCCACACGGACTGTGGTACACTTTTAACATTTATGTTTCTTTTCTTACTCAGTTTTCATATGAATCCGACAAGCAATGAAGACCTCAGGAAAATACTGGTAAGTTCCTGAGGCGGGTAGAGAGTTACTAAAGAGCAAAGTTGGTTTTCTCTCTGGCACACATCTCTAAAACTATATCAGACTTCTTGAATACCTCAGCTACCTCAGTAGTAAGTTTGAGAGAAGGAAGGAAAGCGAAATGCGAACGTTGCCTTGACATAAGATAGGTGACTTCTACGTTATATATAAAAGTTCAAGTAAACATTATAGTTACAATTGAAGGCAGCTTAGAATTTATATATTTTGTTTGCTGACTGTTTTGAAATTAATATGAAAACTGATGTCAAGGTCAACATTATAGTCATGAAATAAGAGCGTGTGGAGAAGACTAACATTTTTTGTTGTTGTTGTTGGGACAAGGATTGAAGAAAGAACAAAGTGGCTTGTCAACATTCAACAATAGGAAAAGCATCCTGGCAAGAGATCCAGTTAACCAGGAAAGTATTTCAAAGAACCTTTAGGACATTTATCTTCCTAGTCAGGACAATGCCAAATATACCAGCAGGATTGGTGATGGCAACTAACAACACCAACAAAGTGACCAGCTAACTCAACTCAGATAGTTTACATGGATTTAGATACCTTAATTTCATTTTATTGCTATTTGAAATCCAGCATTGGGTCTCTCTTCAGAGTTTCCTTGCATCTGTAGTCAATTCTGAATATATTAAACCTAGGGAATAAGTTACTTTACAAAAACATGGCAAGTGTTCTGGGTAGAAGACTAATTCTCACTGAACAGCAGAAATAGGGCCTTTATTCCAAGAGGCTGGTGGTTGCTGTTTGAACCATCTGTCCTTAATGTGTGTGATCCAGATGTTTAATAAGAATTTTTTTAAGCAGTAACATATCACAGTTTTCTATGATGTGATATGCCTGGAAGAAACCCTGGTGTTGTTAGGGTTTATTTTATAAACCACTCTAAATGTAGTTATTTGTTTTTAAAACTGTAGAAAGCGTTGTAGAAGCAGATGACTTTGTACTGTGTTGTTGCTGTTTTATGTAAATGATTTGTAAGTTTCGATGTTTCATAAATACTCAAGTCTTTTTAATATGGCAGTCTGGAGAGAAATGTCAGAATATATGAAGACAGCCTTTGATCCGATAGTAAAATGAATTCTATCAGGCAGTTACTTAATCTCAAACAAAATGCAACATCAAAAAAATCGATTTAATGTGTAGCTATTGTTTATTAAGTAACCTTAATTATAATTTCTATGTGCTTGTAAATGTACTTTTCCAAATCTTGTGATTTATTGCTGTAAAAGCATCCTTAGAATTCTTTAAAGAAATAAAATGTGAAAATTGTTTTAGTTAAAGGATTTAAAGGTGATAAAAGAATCCTTGATGTGTGATTACTTTTCTCTGGAATACTAACGATTCTAAATGACAGTTAAAGGATTACTAGGTGTTGTTAATTTACTGCAAGATACAATTAAGAAGAGAAAGCTCATCCTCATACTGATCGTTTTTGCGGAAAAGTATTTGAACAATTTTTATGTTGAAGATTATAAGATGTTTGAAGTAATTTACATTAAGTTCTCCAATAATAGCCATCCACCAAGTTATTTTTTTCTCCCTCTGGACATAGTATTTTGTAATTAAGTTTGTATGTCTTCTATGCTAGTGCCAACACCTGTCTGTGAAAGCACAGTGTTTAAACAGGAGCAGTAGCCAGTTGAAAGGGCAGTGTGAGCTCTTTAAGGCCTAATTAAGAACTGAAAGGGAGATGAAGGGAGTAGGACAAAAGATGTGAAAGTAGCTGAGATGATATTCCCAGAGCAAAGTTCCTCATTAGAACAATAATGAGATGATCAGAAAATGCCAAGCCTTCATCTTATCTCTCTCTCTCCCCTCTAGTTCCCTTGGATGTCAGTTAGTCCTCCACCAATATTTGGTTACCAGGACAACCTTTCTTTAAATCTTCAGTTATTTTGAGTCCTGATAATTTGCTTTTGTTTAAATTTAAATATTGTAAAAAATACATATACATTTCCTAGTTTAAAAGGCTAGACTATGTGTAAAGTAAAAATAGATCACTAGTAATTCTCAGATTCTTTTCCATAACTATATTATTTAAAATTCTGATTAGAAAATTTACTATAGTACTATTATTCTCTTGCCCAGTCCCCATTTTTTTTATATCTGCATATGGAGATTTTTAACAGAGGTTGGATGGGAATGAAAAAGGATTGGCTGTGGAAGGGGAATAGAGAAGAAAAATTTACGTTAGATTTTAAAATAAGAAAGCATCTTAAAAACATGTGCGCTATCTACATGCTAGTGCTGTAGGAGAAAATACCGAGTACGTGGGTGTCCCGTTGGAGGTTGCATTTGAGTCGTTACCAGTTTGGGGGTTTCCCAATTTTAGAATTTTTTCTAAAAATAACATCAAAAGTATATTTTAGGAAAAAAAATTGTTTTATATTTGCCTGAAGGTTTTCATGTATAAACAAAATAACTTTTGTAACCAGTATTTCAGTTTTTTCTAATATATATATGTTAATATTAATTATTATTTTATTTGGAATGATATCCGTAAACAGAAGGATGTATATTTAATGGGTGTATGAGTCAATTTAAGAATCTTCTGTTTAAAAATAGAAGGTTTATGTAGTTTTCTAATATGGGATAAGATTTGGAGCTAAGCATGAAACTGTTTTTAATTATTTTATATTCTTTTCCAGAATGTAGTTTATAGTACATGTGCTCCTAAGATGTTTTCTTGGCCAGAAACTTGATGCAGAAATTTTGACATAAAAACACAAGTGGAACAATTACTGAAAAGACCAGAAATGTATTTCCAGGAAATCTATCTATACATTAGTTTTAGATGGTTATGAGGGAAATGTGAGGCAAATAATGGGTCCATATATTTTAGATTCTTGCTCTGCAGTGTTGAACACTATTCTGGGATAAGAATTGATTGTTTTGAGAGATTACATAAATTGTTAGGTTGATATGATACCATGGCATTAATTTAAACTATTTATGTCAAAATAAGAGGTTTTTGACATGCCTTTTATCCTCAGTGTCTTTAAACAAATGTTAGGGGGATAAAAAATAACTCCATTATCCAGTAGTACTGGGACAGTGTTGAGTATAACTGTGCAGGGGAATTTTTGACTGTATATCATCACTTAATTAGTTTGGAGAAATCAGTTCATATATGGATAATTTGATTAAAATTAGACTGGAGCAGATTATTATGTTAAATTAAGGAAAAAAAAACATGAAACAGTCAACTAACCATTAATGAATCCCATTTAGTTTAAATTCATTAATCTGTGATTCTCACAAGAAAGCCTGTTTTTCAGTAAATGTTTTATTAGACCGCGTTAGTTGGACTTTATTACTTTTAAAAACGTGGCTCAGAGGAATCACTTGGTAAATCAGGAAATTTCAGAGTTGAAAGGAACCTTGGAGAACATCTCATTTATCAGATAAGGAAGACCTTGTTTGGTTTATGTCTCATATCTGTGTGCAGTTACTTAGGATAACATAAGAAATTTTTGCCTATTTTAAATTTAAAAAATATATTTATCTCCACAGTGAGCCTTATCTTTTTTATAGACACTTGGTTAGCATAGTAAATGATTTGTAGGAATGGAGTTAGGAAATTTTTAATATGCTGTATATCTCTAAATTGCTCATGACCAGTTAAGTAAACTAGTAAAATCGTGTGTGTGTGTGTGTAGACTTAGTCTTATTAAAAAAAAAAAAAGATAAACTGATCTGAGGGAGAAGAGAATACATGGTAAACCAACACTTGTCTTTAGAATTGTCCTTTGTCTTAGAATAATATACTCAAAAAATTTTAGGGACAAAGCTACCATAACTCGTAAAATTATATCTGTTCCCAGTTTTTAATGCTAAAGTAAGTTGTTTTAAATATGTCTTACAGAATTTAAACTTACTTCAGTTTTTTCTCTATTCATTCTGTTAATCTAGTGGAGCTCTTAATAATTCTTCTCTTGATTTCAATAGCCCTAAAACTAATCTTCTCAGCCCCTCCAGATTCATCTTACCCTCTGTTGCCATTTTAATTCTCCTAGAACATAGCTTTAATCATGTCACTGTCCTGTTTAGAAACCTCCAGTGGCTTCCTATTGCCTATAGCAAAAAGTCTAAAGATCCTTAATAATAGCATTCCAATCCTTGATGATCCATTGCCGTTGTACCATTTGAGCCTATTCTCTGCTCCCTAACCTGTTCCTTGTTTTCTGTCTGCTCATCTGATTACCTGCTGTTGACCACTATGCCTTGAACCTTCTTTCTTCCTTTGAAAAAGCTGAACCCACTGCTTGAACTGCCCAGTCTCCATTTCTGCGTGGAAAAATCTTTGAAGAGCTGGTACAAACTATATCTTTTCTACAAAACCTGAGAGATTCTATGGAATTGGAGAAGCTTTTCAATCCTGAATTTTTTCGTTTATTCTGGAGAGAAGGCTAGTGTGTGCTCCAGTCACCCAAGCACGGATTGATACCTGCACTCTGGCTGTTTCTGTCTCTCTGGTGCTGGCAAAATCATACTGCCCCAGGGAGTCTTCAAAAGTGAAACTTTGACTTTCCTGATGAAAATTCCTACACGTAGCGCAATTAAAGTAGATCCTGAAAGTCAGTAAAGACAAATTGAATTCATTACCAAAAAAAAGAAAAAGAAAGCCTTTTCTCTATTTACCAGTCCCCACTCTCTACCCTCCACTGAATAGATACTATTAGTCTTTAAAAGCAAGAGAACTAATTTCCTCAGTATTTTAGTTTGTTTTCTTTAAAGCCAGGTGGAACTGTTTTGAAAGAAAGTGATGAAAATCATTTTAAATTGTTGAGTTTAGTGATAGAACTATGTGTAAAAAGGCATAAAAATTGATACTTTGTGGGTACATTATATTTTATATAGTGAAAAAGCTAAATGCTACGTATATAATAAAAGATGAGGTCACATTGTTTTCTTGGTTGACTTCCTGAGAAATATTCTTCTTTAGCCTTTGATTTAACATTAATATTAGAATACTTTGTAGTAAAAAAAATTAAATCAATGCCTTTTTCTTTCTTTTTTGGGTTGTATTTACACATTTATCCAAAAAAATTTTTTACAAATAAGATAAAGTTATAAAATAAGTAAATAAGTGAACTGGGAGAGAATACAAATACATTAACCCTAAATGTTAACATGGTTGCAGTAGAAACTCTGAGTTTCCTGATAACCAGGGCAAAAAGGGAAATAAGATAAGTTAGATATTAGTACTGGATGGAGGAAATAGATCAGTTACTTGGGTAGAAAAAACTTTCTGCGTCTAAATTTTATCTACATATGGAGACTTATATATTCGCCCAATCTTTTAACGAACTGCATTTTTTCTAATACTTATCCCTATTAAGGCTTTATTGAAAATAAAATTAAAAACATAATATAATAGTTTTGCTCAATATTTTAAATTTCCTGGGGCTAATCTAATGTCCAAGTCTAGTTTTCAGTAGGTTTTTATAGTTCCTGGAGTTAATAATTCTTAGAGCTCTTTAGTTTTAATCGATGTTAGTTATAGTATTGTAGAACACTTTTTAACTTAGTCTTAAAGTATATGGTCAATCTCTGATATTAGGAAATTGCCCACAATGTTTTTTAAAAAAAGAGGGTTTGAGGAGAATTTAGAATTATAATGAAGGCTCTGGTGTGTCCGCCCTCGTCCTTGCCTCAGAACCGGCTAGCTAATCTATGAACTGTCACGTCAGTTCTAGCCAAGGACAGAGACAAAGGGTTTGAGGATTTAAAAAACCAAAAATAGAAGTTCTAAATAATTCTTAGTGTTTGTCCTTGGCATTACATCTGCTAAAGTGACCGTCTTTCTTCTGTTCTAGGACAGCAACCCTTTTGATGCCACTGCAGGGTATCGGAGTCTGACCTACGAGGAGGTACTCCAGGAGCTAGTGAAACACAAAGAGCTGCTGAGGAGGAAAGACAGCCACATCCGGGAGCTCGAGGACTACATCGACAACCTCCTCGTGAGGGTCATGGAGGAGACGCCCAGTATTCTCAGAGTGCCGTATGAACCGTCCAGGAAAGCTGGCAAATTCTCCAATAGTTAATAAGCCAATTGCACTGCTTTTATAATTAAAACATAAATAAAAGAGAATGAAAAGAGAGGAAAGAAAGAAAAAGAGAGAAGAGAAAGAAAAACTTGTCAGTGAAAGAGATTATACGACCAGGTCTCATTACATATTCTTCTGTTTGATTTAGAAAAATTGTTTTACCTTGTAAATATTAGCAGGGACTATCAAAAGAGTGACCTTTGAAGTGAGTTAAATAGTTTAAACATTTAAAGTAAAAACGGGCCAGATTCTCGATGAATAAGCAGTTCCTTAGGGTTCACTTAGGTGCTGGTGGCGGCCCACGAGTCTACCAGAGGCCTAGAAGTATCTTCAGTAGTACATGACTTATTCCTCAGGAACAGATTTCTCACAGCAGAATTGATAATGTAGTTGGTTTCTCAGAAGTCAATCTGTAGACATATTTAGCTGCAGGAATACTGCTCATTATAAACACTACTAAAAAAACTTCATATTTTATATACATATATATGTACGTGAATATGTGTCCATGTGTCTTTGTATATAAAATACATGCATATACCTCATATATAATGTGTTTTTAGAACATTAGCAAAGACTGGTTGCCTCTAAGATTGGGATATTACTTACAATTTGAAAACGTATGTGTGATCTGTTGGTGCAGAACAAATCATTGTTACTAGTATTAGGATTTGTTACGCAGAAGCTGCTTCAAATCACTCTTGACTACATGAAGCTTGGTTTCAGAGCAAGCTGCTATATATTATTCCAGCTTCAAATTTTTGCTGTTCTACTGGAAGTAGTGACCCATAATCCTTTCTTAAAGAATGGCATATTTTGGGAAGCATCATTAACTTCACAACAGCATGAATTTCTTTGAATTAATTTTTGTATCCTAATGACTTGGGTTTTACTTAAACTATAAGCAAAAGATAAGTTAATGTAATTTGCTTTGTAGAGGTTCTGCATGCCACCATTAAATCACTAGCAAAGAAAATATTAGCGAATTATATCTGAAGACAATTTTGGGGGAAAAATGTAGGTAATCATCTGATGCCTGATAACCCAAAGCAATGGGCAAATTCTAGGAATGAAGAATTAGGCTTGGTTTCAAGTTACATGAATAATAGAGCAGATGGTTGCCTTTGGGTCTTCAACCAAAATAAGAGTTTGTGAAGGAGGAGTGAGTTTTCAGAGCAGATCTTTACTAGCATGACGTTGAACCTTACTCTACATCCCCTTTAATAATTGATTTATCACAAAATGATGTCTTTTTTTTAAATCCACCCCTCCCAAAATGTTGATTACCTCTGTGAAGTATCTATATAATATTTGTACAAAAGTAATCTGAAATTTAAAGTGAAAAACAATGGTATAAAAACGTTACTTATCATCTAGTGCTAATTTTTCAACCTTAAAAATCTAAAATACTTACCATGAAACACTGAATTTAAAATGAAAATTTTATCTACATATGGAGACCTCTATAACCCCCCAATCTTTTAACAAACCGTATTTTTTCTAATGTTTATCCCTATTAAACTTTATTGAAAATAAAATTAAAGGCAGATATAATAGTTTTGCTCATTTTGGTATTTTGAATCAGATAATACTGGGCCAAGCTTATATACATAAGCTAAAAGCGCTTGTTACTTTTATTTTCTGAGTTTCTTTATATTTCCTGTGAGTTCATAATTTTGAAATTCTGAAAAATTTTCCCAAATAGAAATAATTAAATAATTTTCTAAAATCAGGAAATGGGGAAAGAAAAATAACTTTTGCCAGTTTTTCCCTCTACTTACAATTAAAGTTCTGTAATTAATCTTAAAATCTAGTGTAGAATTTTATTTTCTCATTAGAGGTTTTGGTAGTTACTGTTTTTTTAACATGGTGCCATTTTTAATTAACACTTATTAAATATTACAAAATTCTTAGCATTTGGTTTTTCTGTAAGTAAAATTGAGGCTTGTATACTTTTTTTAAATACCAAAATTCACGTATTCTCAGTATTACATCAGATACCTGCAGGTATTTTAATATGATTTGGCCAAACTTGCTCTTTATAGAATGAACCAAGATGTCAGTTTTGTATTTGGGGGTTGTTTTATGTAAATAGAGCTCATTAAAAAGTATGGTTCAAGTACTGCTATTCTTTTTATGAGGAAGTTCATTTTGCAAGAGCAATTCTTTGCCTACATAAAAAACCATTAAGGATTAAACTTATTCATAAGGAGTGATTTGGCTATAACTGAATCAACATTTTTATCTTTAAATCTGAGACAAGTATTGTACTGAAAACTGAATCTACATTTATCACTGCCTGAAAATTTTCCGTTCCGATGTTTATGAATTTTCACTCATGACCTAGAGTAAAACTTATTAGATATTTTCATAATCAGTCAACATAATAAACTAAAAACAAAAAGTTAAAATGAAATCCCAAGGAAACCTATCAGTGTTTCCTGTGTTTGGGTAGAGGTACAAACAGAGCAGTTTTAATTTCTAGTGCTGTAAAAAAATGGCCATAAAGATCACTTTAGTTTATTTTTCCAAAATGTAACTTTGAGTATTCTAATGACATATTTTGTTAGTAGCTTAGAAATGGAAATAAAACATATGTATCATTAAATAATGCACAGCACAGGAGACTTATAAATGTTCTTTGGTCTTTATGTTTAAAATAATGCATGCTCAAAAACATTTCACCCAGAGGATTTTTTAAAATCCCAAAATTGATATTTATTTAAACCTATCTTAAGCTTTTCTGTTACATATTTATAATATTCCTGCTATTAAGAACAGTATTGTTTTATGACCAGCTCCCCTCCCAGATCTAAAATTCAGCTTTGAAAGTATTGAACGTACTGTTCTTGCACTTAGGCTTCAAGCATCATGTATTGAGTACCAGGACCGTATCTTAGAGTTGTATGTATCATAATGTATAGTCCATTCATGAAAAATGTTTAAGTATTGCTTTTTGCTGCTGTATTCTGCACTGAGCCTAGTTTTGCCATCTCCAGTGAATGTAGTATTATCCATAGATTATACATAACTACATCTATTGCTTTTGGCAGTAAATCAAGATTTAGTTGTAATTCTCCAGCTGTGAAAATGTTGCCTTGTGTTTAAAAGGGTTTCATGAATGGAAACCTAAAACTAAGCTCATTAGTGACAGACTGGCTTTCTTCACATCCTTCCTTCACTGCCCCCACGCCCCCCTTCCTACCACCCCCATAAGGGTGCTTATTCTTTAACACGGAGAATCTTAAAAAAAAAACAAAACTGCTGTCTTTAATATATCTACAGTAATTGTTACACTAGAGCTTTTATTTTCCTCTGTAGCTTTTCAGAAAAAGCAACCTTAGATTTGTAAATCAAGCTGAAACTTTTTGATGTTCGTGTACTCATATGTCTTAGAGGTAGGCTAGGTGTCACGTGTGTGTGTGTGTAGGTGAAGTATAAAGCATGCTCATTCACTTGATCTCTTTGAAGTAGGAGGCAAAAAGAATTGCAGTGCTGCTGGTCAGGAGGGTAGATGGAACGGTCTGTCAGCACACATTGAAAACCCCCATTTTCACAGATTTATAACTTTAATAATCCAGATGCAATCATTGGAAGTATTTAATATGCAATAGGTAGCACCTTAACTAATTAATGTGCATATGAAGGGTTTTCTGATGTATTTAATAAGAAGTGTAGAAGCTCTTCAAGCATTAAACTAGAGTTGACATTTTATTTCATTTATTTTCTATGTGAAAAAGTCCAGTCTTACAATGGAATTGAAGTCTGTAACAAATGATACATTTGGGCCTATTAATCTCTGAAGCTTCCAGATGGTTTGTATTTTGAGGTACAAAAAATGCTGCAGATCTAGATATGTATATATTTAGTAGGTACTTGAAAAATGTATGCATTATTTATAACTGAAGAGTGTTGCACTTAATCTTATTAAGTAAATGCTCTTAGTAAATTGTATACATTTTTGGAGGTATAAACTCAAAAATATGTAAGCATTGCATAATGTGACAGTTGTATAATTTATGTAATCTGATGCATGAATAAGAATTTTTATATAATATACAATGACCATTGATTTATTATAGCTGATTAAAGTGTTTACTCTTAACTTCCTTCTGTCATCAAAATTTCTTATTGCAGATAAAACAGTGTTACCATTAACACATCAGTACATGAGTCCTCGTCTTTTATTAAAAACTTAGGCTGCCTCTCATTTGATAGATAGTAGCAGGTATTCTGTAAGACCTACAAACTCTCTTTACTATGAAGAGTTCTGAAAAGTCATTCAGAGAGTAGTACCTTAGAGTGAACATTCTTTAAGGAATAAGCGAATGCCCTGTGTGTATAAGGCACTGTGCTTAACCCCCTTGCCGTCGAGTCGGTTCTGCCTCATAGTGACTCTACAGGGCAGAGTAGAACTGACTCACAGGATTGCCAAGGCTATAAATCTTTACAGAAGCAGACTGCTACATCTTTCTTCCCCAGAGCAACTAGCTGATTTGAACCACTGACTCTTCGATTACAGCTTACCGTTGCTCCCTACTGTGCTTAGGGTTTGGGAATAAACAATGAGCAGTGTAGACATCCCCTCATAGGAATGGAGCTTATGGTTTGGTTGAAAATGACGTTTGACTGTTTATATATAGGCTAAGGCCTCTGCCAAGTGCTTTCTATTTATGCATTATTTCATTTATTCCTCACAGCAACCCTATAAGGTAAGGACTATACAGGCTTTCAGAGGAAATTTAAGACAACTAATGAAGAAACAATTTGTGGAACTCAAGAAGGAGTAGATAGAGTAGGCTTGGCACACCCGTAGCATTTGTCATCACTTCTTATCCTCTAGTTCGTGACAGAAATCATATCAGTTCTCAACGTAGCAGTCCAAGTACACACCTGTCCATCTGAAATGCTGTCTGAGGGGAAATGTGGGTCTGAGGGCCCAAGGGCCTGGGGTGGTGTTCCTGTGAGTGTGTATGTAGTTATGTATTTGCACACTGGCAGTGAATTAGGCAGTTGTATTGAGATGATGCGATGTGGTCCATACTGTAGTCTTGTATATAAATCACACATTTGGAACGAGGTGTTTCTCTGCAGGCAGAACACCTTCTGTTCTCTCTTTGCTCTCATTGCCTCCACTTCCCCAGTTGATCTCCTCCAGATTGCTCTTTCTGTCCAGCCCCAGCACACAAATTTATTTTTCCTTAGTCTTCTGAGATAAACATATTTGGGGTATTTGGAAGTAGAGCGCTGCTATCATTCTGTTAAAGTGGCCATTTATCACATAGATTTTGTTTTAATGCAGTGCCTTTCTGAGAAATGTTTCCATTTAGTTTTTTAAAGTAATGGGCTTATGACCTGGATGCCCAACATTTTACATTTTCCCCTGAATAAGATGTGATAATACAGACATCATACTTACACATTTTTATGGTTATGCAAGGTGTTACGGATTGAATTGTGTCCCCCCAAAATATCTGTTAACTTGGCTAGGTCATGATTCCCAGTATTATATGATTGTCTACCATTTTGTAATGTGATGTGATTTCCCTATGTGTTGTATATTCTATCACTGTGATATAATAAGACGGATTAGTGGCCGTTATATTGGTGAGGTCTATAACATTAGATAGTGTCTTAAGCCAATCTCTTTTGAGATATAAAAGAGAGAAGTGAGCAGAGAGACAGGGGACCTCATACCACCAAGAAAGCAGTGCCAGGAGCCGATCGCATCCTTTGGACCTGAGGTTCCTGCACTGAGATGCTCCCAGACCAAGGGAAGACTGATGACATGGATCTTCTCTAGAGCTGACAGAGAAAGCCTTCCCCTGGAACTGTTGCCCTGAATTTGGACTTGTAGCCTACTAGACTGATAAAATAAATTTCTCTTTGTTAAAGCCATCCACTTGGGGTATTTCTGTTAAAGCAGCACTAGATGACTAAGACACAAGATTGGCCCTTATAAACAATATTGTTATATACATACAATTACATGAACTGGAAGTGCTTCATTTTGTTATACCCCTTGCACCCTAAAATTTGCTTCTTAAATTTTCAGTGCTTCCATCATTTGTTAGGTGTACTGAAAAGCCAGAATTTATGCTGGGAAGCACAAAACCAAATTATCAGAGGTTTTCAGTTATGATGTGTCGTGGTCCAATGTAAGATGTGGTCCAGTTTATTACTAATGTAAGTACCAACATTTAGAAATTATTTTTCCTTGTAAATTAGACCAGAGTAAAGATCATTGCTATTCCAGTGTTGCTCACATTCTGTTATTGCTAGGTGGAATGACAGAAGAGCATGAGAGTGAGTGAGTAGTTCCCAGCAAACTTTCTTATTTGTACTACAACCCTTAACGCAGGGATTGCACACTCAGACATCTCCAACGCCAGGCAGGTAAGGTCAGTCACGTGGCAAGCTGAGTGCAGAAGAGGGCTTACTGGGGAAGTGGTGATCTGGGGAGCCCGTTCCCCACTAAACAGAAGCAACAACTGTTCAGCTCCAGGTCATTGTTGCCATATGGGAATGCATACAAGGCCAGAGTTGCTAAACCTTTCTAGAAGAACTGAAAATGTAGATTTTTATGTGAAATCTGATTTGTAAATGTTGGCAACTGAGTAATTGTTTTCCTGAAAATAATGTAGGCCAAACAGTCTGGGGGCTACTAGTTTACATCACTTCTTTGCTGAGTCACTACTTCTCATGAACTAATAATAGTAATGATAAGAAAAATAAGAACAATTCAGATTCTGGTTGTTTACTGCCCCCCCCCCGCCCCCGCCAGATGATTTTGTATTTAATAAAAAACTGGGCTTGCCAAGGGGCATGTGGGGTGTGTGTGATATGTAAGACTGAGAACCACACCTCAAGACTCCAGTATGCCTGTCTGAGCCTGCCGGTGCAAATGCTTTCAAAACAGTGTAGGTAACCTGAGTGACGGTCCAAGGGCCACTGCTTTAGTGTTGGAGCATTTTGTTGTCTCAGGATCTGGTACATACCCTTTTTATGGTAGTTGTGACTTTCCAATATCCTATTTATGACAGTCTTACCTTTTGGTAAAAAATAAAAACGACTAGTATCCCAAAGATCAGTTTAGCACATGATATTGTGTGTGTGAAGGCCAAATCACATATGGTATATGACAATTTCCAGTAATATAAAATGGATGTATTTTCATTTGCGTTTTAAGGTATGTGATGCATACCTCCATTAAAATATGACCGTTGACTCCATAGTTTGTCTGATTTTGTACATCAGCCATTTAAAATTCTGCCATTCTTTCTGATACCAGCCAGATCAGGAAAGATTGGATGGTTTAGATTAGTGCTTCTCAAAGTGTTGTCCCAAAACCAATAACGTCAGTGTCACGTGGGAACTTGTTAGAAATGCAAATTCTCAGACCCCACCCTAGACCTCCTGAATCAGAAATTCTGGAGGTTAGACCCAGAAACCTGTTTTAAGAAGTCCTCCAGCTTATCTGATCTCTCTTTAAAGAAACTGAAAATACCGATTTCAGTTTTAACAAGCCCTCCAGCTGATTCTTCTATGTGCATTCAAACATGAGAACCATTGAGATAGAGACATCTGTCTCAATGTGGTTTAGACAGCACTTTCTTGGCTAAGGTAACTTTCCTTGCCAGTCTTGAATTTGTTTATGAACTTATATTTTTAGTTTTTTATGAGCTGAATATTTTTGGAAGAAATCTTGGAGTATGATGAAGCTTCATATAGGTAGAATGTTCATAAGACCATGCACAATGAATACTGTTGACTGATTGATATGTCTTGTTTGTGTGATAAGATTTGGTTATCATCGAGAAAGAAAAAAATACACCAGTCAATATAAAACTGCCAGAATGTTCTTGTATTTGGTGAGATTTTACTATTCCACATTTGGTTAAGTAGGGCATCCTAGCCTCACAAAGGCCTTTTTACCTGAGGTAGAAGAGAATAGTGGTAGAAAAAGAAACAGAGGTTGCAGCCACATATGAAAATGTGGTAGAATAAAGTTTTGAATATATGTGTGAAGTTGTATAATGGATCTTAACAAATGAAGCAGCCTTTTGACCTTAGGTGAGAGATTTTACGTAACAGCACTTTGTAACTTTGCTAGCCTACGAATCATTTAGTCAAATAATTCATTTGTTCATAAGCAGCTTACATTCTTTTCACAGCCAAAAGTGGGCTGAGTTCTCATTTGCATTGAGAACTTTGGTCAGGTAGTATCAGGCTAGAGAAATCTAGAATGAAATTTAAAAATCTTGCTAGGTCTTGCATCAAATGTCCGAAACACTAAATGATTAGGAACAGGTCATTATGCATTAGGTTAAATAACAACTTAAAGGTGGCGTGAGAGAGCATCCAGTAGGGAGAGCATTTTATTGGTTTTTCTTTCTCAGTGGATTAATACCTGGAACATAAACAATATGTAATGGGTTCAAAGACAGCTGAACACTGACAAAAGTTGTTAAGTGTGGGTTATTGTAATTATGTTTTAATCATCATGCAAACCCTCAAGAAAATGTCCATACCAAACATTAGATTAGCCTGCTGTAGAAACCTAATATTAAGGAACTAGCGAAAACATAATTAAAATCACCATTAATTCAGAATCCTCCATCTTAACTTGTAACTGAACCTCTTTCACCGAAATTTTGCTAAATACAGGTTAAAGAGTAATAAAAATGCCCATGAGTTTAATTTCCTAGTGTTGATGGTGGCATAAGGAGGGGAAAGAATAGCAGAGGAAGCCATGGGAGCTGAGTGGAGAAGGGAAGCAGGAGGCCAGGCTTGCTAGCAAACCAGTTGTCAACCTCAAGTTAACTCAGGTTATACCCTCAGAGACCATGCAGGAGGAACACCTGTTTTAAGAAGGAATTTATCACCAACAGTCGCTGACTGATCCAATAGCAACATTAAATACGTTTGTTTACATTTAAAGTGTTTTTTTTATTAATGTACTATTATTGAACATCTTTCATGATTTATAAGCTGTAAAATATTTTAATCCTTGACTCATTTGTTTACCAAGCTATTCGTTTAATGCTATATAATATGTAGCACTTGAGACCATCTGTTGGGAATATTTGAATAATATGCATGCTGTGAAGATACGTACAGCAAATAAAGTGCAAAACACTTGAAATATTCAGGAAGCGTTTGTGATGAAGACAATCCATGTATTTTAATTAAAAAAAAATGTGGCCTGAAATCTAGCAGTAAGTCTTTCTAAAAATGATGCTGTATTTTCGAGGCAAATTCCTGTGCTGAGAGGGCATTAAGCTGGCATTTTGACTTTTAAGTGAGTAACTTGAGAGAAAAAATATTGGAATTCATACTAATTAGAAGTGTGCTCATTGGCACTCTGAAGCATTATTTCATCTCAGGGTGAGAAGTTACTGCAGAGTAACTATTAGTTGTATGGGAACTGTGATAAAAATATGTTTTGTGAAGCAGGCCAAGGAGGGAGGCTGTGAGCAGGAGGGGACATCTCAGGTGTCCTGCAGTCACTTCTGAGGGGAGGGTTTGAGGGAGGCACCAGGTTTAATTTTGTAGTCTTGGAAACTCAACTATTGGAGGCTGAGACTATTTGTTTACTTCTTTCCTCTGAATTGGTGGAGGAGGCAGGGGATTAACACCATGTATGGTCCCCCAACTGCCTCTCCCTGCTCCCAGGCAAGGGACTGTGTTGTGAAAGATTGAAAATTGAGGATTCCCAGGTTGCTTAGCTGCTTATAGACCCTGGGATTCTTGACCCATCCTCCTTTTGGCCATGAGTAATCCTAAGGAGCTCGACCCACTCCTGGCAGGCATGTTTTTCCTTCAGAGTTACACTACTTGAGTTGTTTGTGACTTAGATGCTTACAATGCCTTCTTTAATAATGTGTCTAATGGTAATACACATGGGGCAAAATCTGGTTCCCACCAGATCGAGGGAGTATCTGGCCCACTGTAAGTCTTAATCGTGGTACTCACTGTTTAGCATTGCCTTCCCTAACTGCTTTCAACTCCTGTGTTTTGATGCCTATACCAAATCTCATTGGAATTAAAATCATTCTAGTGTTTTTTTCGTGCTTGTTACTTAAATGATCTGGAGTCCCTGGATGGGGCAAAGGCTTAATGCGCTCAGCTGCTAACTGAAAGGTTGGCAGTTTGATCCACCCATAGGTGCCTTGGAAGAAAGACCTGGTGATCTACTTCTGAAAAATCAGCCATTAAAAACCCTATGGGGCACAGTTCTACTCTGACACAAATGGGGTCACCAGGCGTTAAAGTCAACTGGACAGCAGCTGTAAATGAATTTTAGTGTGTACCTCTAAATGGTAAATTTACTCCTACATTTGTTACTGTCATATCCATATTTCTCTTTGTTTTGACTCCTTCAATTTTTGTTACTTCATCCTTTTGAACTGTGTGTGCTTTTGTAAACCACCCCAAATCATTTGTGGATGGGACAACATATGAATAAATTTTTCATCATTTTTTCCAATCCTGCTTTTTCTACTCCAAGCAGAGTGGCATATCTCATCTTTGCTGACCTCCAGCAAACCCCTTTCTTGTACATTTATTTGTCCTTATTTCTGAGTCTACAGCTGTTTTTTAAAAATATACTAAGCATTCCTGGCAAGGAGTATGAGCCTCTAGTCATTGTAGCACTGATGCCTAGTAGAGTGCCTGGTAATAGTTGGTACTCAGTAAATATTTGTTGAGTGGGTGATCAAGTTATTTTTATTAAGACCCATAGGGTTTGTATGGAAAATTAATATACACAGTGATGTTATCATATAAACTCCCTTTTAAATTAATAAAAGTAGGGTTTTTAGCAGGCAGTGGGAATTGGATCTAGAGAAGAAAGAATTACTACTAGAAAGAATTTTCTATCTGGGAACGGATTATAATAGATGCTCAGCTCAAATTACAGGCAGTCCATCAAAGTTTGATGAGCATGATTAATCAATTTCTTCATTCCTTTTTTATAGTGAGGGCTTGTCATATTCTGTAGATACTTGTTTACGTGTCTATGTGCATTGCTTCTCTGTGTACATATTGAAGAGAATAAAGTATCTGCTCACCTTTGCTTCCCACTCCTTGCAGGTCACATGTCACATTCCAGATCCTCAGGAAACGCATATTAGAGAAAGAAAGCAGGGGAGAGTTGTTTAGTGGCTGATTCTTTGAAATACGGAGTAAGAAGCTTTTACTTTTTGCTGTATGTGATTTGGATGGCAGCATGCTGAGATTTTAATTATCTGCACTTTAAAATATTGCAACCATGGTTATTATAAAACATTTTCTGTTGTCCTTGATAACAATGACTTATGTTTGTAATTAATGATAAAGAAAGAAACCTTGGTGGTCCCTGATTGAAACAAGGAGTACATTGACCCACTTTGTTTAGGAGACTTACAGAAACTCTAGATATAAAATCAGCCTTTTAAAAATTATTTTCTGATGCAAAAACAAATAACTGAGTTTGATGAGACCACTAGCAAGGTGGGCTTTTCTGATTCAAGTGCTTTACTTACTGTACATGTCTTCCATTGAATAATCAGAAAGAAGCCTCAGTCCAGGGTGGAAAATCAATTTCATTTTGAGTGTTAATTGATCAACAGTTGCTGCTGCGTTGTGGAGGTTGGTGAGGCTTTATTTGGGCTTTCCCATTCATCCATTGATCTAATCCCGTATTCATTCATCGATCCAATCCAGCACCCATCCATCCATCCATCCATCCTTCCACTAAACATATATTGAATACCTGCTATGTGCAAAGCACTATTCTGAGCACTAATGATACTGAGTTGAACAAGATAGACGAAGGAAAATAGTGCCATGATCAATTAGTGATGTCCACCAAGAACTCATGACATCCATACTTCCGCCCCCCCACCATTTTTTAGGGACCATTTTAAAAATCTTTTGATGCCCACTCAATGTCACAAGTAAAAAACTCTTGAGGTAATCACAGAAGTACCAACTGATGGAATTTGAGTGTTAACTTCTTTTTTTTTTTTTACACACACCTTTCCTGACTTTGTTTTTTTTAATTTGATTTTTAACTTTATTTTAATTAATATTTTAAATTATATGTTTAAATTAATAATAAAAAAATATGGAATGCTTCACAAATCTGTGTGTCATCCTCGCGCAGGGGCCATGCTAATCTTCTCTGTATCATTCCACTTTTAGTATATGTGCTGCAGAAGCGAGCAAGCATTTCAGTGTTACCTTCTTAAGAGAATGGAATTTCTTATCATTTGATCAATGTTGATCCAAGACAATGAGTTAATGACAGATGCACCCCATAGTATAAAGAACTAGTTATGAGCTCATGTGCAATTCATCTACAACTCTCTTTATTAACCTATGCATTTAATTTTGAACAAAAGTAGTTGAAACCTGGGAGATGTTTCCAAGCAAGATTGAAAAATATATTGAATTATCTTCAGTATAGGGACAATTCTTAAATAATTAAAAGTAATTGTCTTAGGTATCTAGTGCTGCTATAACAGAAATACCGCAAGTGGATGGCTTTAACAAACAGAAATTTATTCTCTCACAGTCTAGGAGGCTAGAAGTCCGAATTCAAGACAGCACCTCCAGGGGAAGGCTTTCTCTCTCTGTCGGCTCTGGAGGAAGGTCCTTGTCATCAATCTTCTCCTAGTCAAGGAGCTTCTCAGCGCAGGGACCCTGGGTCCAAAGGACGCACTGTGCTCTCCGTGCTTCTTTCTTGGTGGTTTAAGGCCCCCATGTCTCTCTCCTTGCTTCTGTCTTTTATATCTCAAAACAGATTGGCTCAAGACACAATCCAGTCTTGTAGATTGAGTCCTGCCTCATTAACATAACTGCCGCTAATCCCATTTCATCAACATCATAGAGGTTTTACAGCACATAGGAAAAATCACATCAGATGACAAAATGGTGGACAATCACACAATACTGGGAATCATGGCCTACCCAAAGTGATACACATATTTTTGGGGGACAAAATTCAATCCATGACAGTAATGATGCAATTGCAATTCTTTTCTCCATTGCAGAGGGTTTACTATCATTCGCCACTTGGAATTGCAACCATATTTAGAAATGAAAGATGAATGAAAGTTAAAAGACAAATCTTCAACATGCATGGTGTGTGAGTTCTTTGGTCTGAAGAAAAATAAGTACCAAACAGCTGAATGGATTAGAGTTGTATATAAAAGGAATATTTTTTCAGTAGCTTCTAAATTGAATAAATCTAACTGCAAGATTATTATACCCAAGGTCTAATGATTGCCTGATTTACCCTTTTTCTTGAGAATAAAGCAAGTATGACTTTGAGAATACCAGAAAGATGTTTACCTGTGTTTTATTGACTATGGAAAGGCATTCAACTGTGTGGATCATAACAAATTATGGGTAACGTGAAGAATGGAAATTCCAGAACACTTAATTGTGCTTATATAGAACCTGTACATAGACCAAGAGGCAGTATCTTTTGAACAGAACGAGGGGATACTGCGTGGTTTAAAACCATGGAAGTTGTGTGTCAGGGTTGTATCCTTTCACCATACTTATTCAACCTGTATGCTGAACAAATAGTTCAATAAGTTGGACCATATGAAGAACAACACGATGTCAGGATTGGAGGAAGACTCACTGACAACCTGGGATATGCAGATGACACAACCTGGCTTGCTGAAATTGAAGAGGACTTGAAGCATTTCTGATGAAGATCAAAGTATGGATTACACCTCAACATAAAACAAAAATCCTCACAACTGGACCAGTAAGCAACATGATGATGAATGGAGAAAAGATTGAAGTTGTCAAGGATTTCATTTTACTTGGATCCACGATCAACACCCATGGAAGCTACAGTCAAGAAATCAAACAACATATTGCATTGGGCAACTCTGCTACAAAAGACCTCTTTAAAGTATTAAAAAGCAAAGATGTCACTTTGAGGACTAAGATATGCCTGACCTAAGCCATGGTATTTTCAATTGCCTCATATGCATGCAAAAGCTGGACAATGAATAAGGAAGACCGAAGAAGAATTGATGCATTTGAATTTGAAGAATATTGAATACACTATGGACTGCCAGAAGAACATACAAATCTGTTTTGGAAGAAGTACAGCCAGAACACTCCTTAGAAGCGAGGATGGTGAGACTTCATCTCACATACTTTGGACATGTAATCAGGAGGGACCAGTCCCTGGAGAAGGACATCATGCTTGGTAGAGTGGAGGGTCAGCGAAAAAGAGGAAGACCTCAAGGAGATTGATTGACTCAGTGGCTACAGCAATGGGCTGAAACATAGCAAGGATTGCGAAGATGAGGCATGACAGGGCAGTGTTTTGTTCTGTTGTACTCGTTGGTACCTAACAACAACAACAGAACAGAATGTAATTAATGATACATTGAGGGGTGAAAAAGAAGTTTAAAGGAATATGATTGTGCTGATTTATCTTTTTTATTTCCTTACTTCTGCTTTCTTTGTATTTATCTGATATTCTGCAAGAATTTGTGTAAGATTAGACCTAATAATAAGCCAGTGGTTTAAACATGTTTCCCTCTCATGTAACACTGAAAGATAGGCACTACACTTTGAAGAGTGGTTCTTCCTCAGACAGTTATTCAGGGATCACCTTTCATGACATTGCTCTGCCATCCTTAGGCTTGTCTCGTTGCTGAATGTCATTGGAGCCAGCACCATGGGACTGTGCAAAAGATACATAGTAATACCATTCTTAAATGACGAAAACCAATCACAGCCAATCCAAGCCCTAAGAGAATCTGGGAAATACAGTGAAGCTGGGCAGCCACGGACATAGTACAATTCATTACCATGGACATAAGGGAGAATGGATTTTGGTGGCCATATTCTAGTAACCAGATTTTTATTAAATCCTGTCTGACAATTTTGTCTTTTAAATGAGTAGTTTAAAATATTTACATTTATTTTCACAGAAGTATTTGGGTTTATTTTTACCATTTTATTTTGTGCTTTCCATTTGTCTCTTTATATGTCTTTTCCCCCTCTCTCCCACCACTGTTTTTAAACCTTCCTTGGATTAAATTTTATTTTTCTCCTCATTCCATTTTTCCCCTCTACAAGATTGAAAGTTGCTATACATTCTAGTTTTATTCTTATAATAATTACCCTTGAATTTTTACCATGCATATTTAACTTGCCAAAATCTAAATTTAAATTTGCTGTCTTCTCAATGATACAAGGACCTTAGTATAATTTAACTCTGGTCATCCCGCTACCAATTTTATATTTTTGTCCAGTTTTATTTCTAGCTTCTTCTTTAACCTGACACATTATAAATGTTTTGGTTTGCTTTATTTATTTATTTTTAAAATTTCTTCTCTGATCTTCCTCTTGGGATTGTTTTCGTTTTTACTGAAGTATATCCAAAATAATTTGTTTTATTGAAGGTCTATATGTTCTAAGCTTTTTAAGTTTTTGTTTTGTTTGCAGATAATATCTGTGTTTTATCATGGTTCTTAAAGATAGTTTCACTAACTATACCTTCTGTCATGCAGTTTTCTCTCAGCCCTTTGAAAATACCATCGTTGATGTTGAGATGTCTCCTCTCAGTCTAATGCTAGTTCCTTTCTGAGTTATTCATCTTTTTCTCTTTTGTCTTTAGTGCTGGGAAGTTTCATTGTGATGTTCTTGTGTATGCTTTGTTTTATTTATCTTGTTTTGCATTCACTAGACTTTCTGAAAATGAGGATTTGTATTTTTCAACATACTTTTTTTTAAGGAAGTTTTTAGCTCTGATCTCTTTCAATATTATCTTACCTCTTTCCATTTTCTCTAATGTCTTCTAATGCAATTTTGATTAGATATATGTTAGCTATTAAATATGTTCACTCTGGAGTCCGGCAAGATGGCGCTCTAGGGAGAAGCACCACGCCGTCCCTCCACAGCAAAGATCCAAAAAACTAAGCCAAACAGAGAATCAACAATCCTGAAACCCTAGAACATCAAATGAAGAGATAAAGAACTCAGCC